CCAGGGGCTGAGGCGCCCCATGGCGAAGTCTGCGTCCCACGGTCCAGGCGACGGCGACGGCGCATGGAGAACTTCCGTAAGGTGCGCTCCGAGGAGGCGTCGGCGGGTGGCGGGGCCGAGGGGGGCGGACCGGGCTCCGGCCCCTTCGCCGACCTGGCGCCGGGCGCCGTGCTCATGCGGGTCAAGGAGGGCAGCAAGATCCGGAACCTGCTGGCCTTCGCCACCGCCCGCATGGCGCAGCCGGCCACGCGCGCCATCGTCTTCAGCGGCTGCGGCCGGGCCACCACCAAGACCGTCACGTGTGTGGAGATCCTCAAGCGCCGCTTGCCGGGCCTGCACCAGGTCACGCGGCTGCGCTACCGGAGCGTGCGCGAGGTGTGGGAGAGCCTCCCGCCCGGGCCCGCGCCCGACCGCCCGGGCGGAGGGTCCCCCGCCAGCCTGAGCGTGCTCAAAAATGTGCCCGCGCTCGCCATCCTACTTTCCAAGGACGCGCTGGATCCACACCAACCTGGCTACCAGCCCCCGGACTCACACCCGGGTCCCTCGTCCCCGTCAGCCACGCCTACACTCAAGAGGAGCCGGGGGGACCCCGCAACTGGAGAAAGCTCCGCAAAGCGATCACAACTGGAGCCGGGGGCATCGGGGGAGGACCAAACTGCCTGAGGACTCCAGGCTCGCTCTAGATGTTGTCCCCGCTCCCGTCCTCTGGAGCCCACGAACCTGTCACCGGGACACAGCCCTCAGACTGGCAGCATGGATCCCCAAGATGACAAAGAGAAGCCCACGGAGTGGGAGGAGAGGACCCCTCCACCCCCTAACCACTCCTGGGGAGCATCGTGCTGTGGTTGCCCCTCCCCTCTGCTGCCTGACGACTTGGGACTCTATTTTCAACTTTTCTGGAGCGCACTAGGACTTCTTAGAGAGGGGCTGGTGGGCAGCTGAACGCTGGGGCCTCGCGCGCTGCCCTCAGAGGTTAAGGGCGCCAGGCATTCAGGAGGGAACTGAGTCTTTGTTCCTAGAAAGTCCTTGGAGTCGCCCCCCTCCTTTGGCAGCAGAGGACAAGGGCTAAGAAACTTCCAGAGAGGAGCCTTGTGGTGCTCTGGGACCCTCCTCTTCCGGCCCCCTCCAGGGCACAGTTTGCCTCACATTGGAGGAACATCCTGAAATGAGGGAGCCAGGGACATCCACCCTTTCCCAAGTTGGCCTAGAGGGAGAGATCCAGCACAGAACTCCCCAGGACTTCTCCCCTGAGCCCCAGAGCTGGACTCTTGTTTCAAATAAAACAAACACACAAAACGGCACTGTCCTCAGATTTTTTTCCCTCATCACCCACTTGGGTCTGCCACCTGGTGTCTCAGTCGCTCAGACCTGGCCTTCCCGAGTCTTCAGGATCAGGCACAACGCCTGAGCAGCCTTGGAAAGGTGCCAGAAGCACACGGTCCAATTCCTGGCTTTCCACCCGCTTCCCTAGGTCTTCCTGGCCGCTGCCCTGGCCTCAGGAGGCCTGCATCCCTCTGTAAGCCACCACTAAAAAAAGGGATAAGCTTTTCTGGGAGGATAAGGCCTGAGTGTTCTGGTCAACAGGGGGCGGTCCTTCCCAAGAATGACAGCGGGGGTGGGGGTGGGTGGGTGGGGGGGTTGTCCATTGGTCCATAGTCTCACCAAGCCTTACCCTGAAAACTGGCTCCAAGTACCCTCTTCCCACAGGGCAGGCGGGCTCTCTTCATGGCTCTCTCGCTAGGTCGGAGAAAGGACAGCACACCCTTCGGGGAAGGGGAAGAAGAGAGATTGAGCACAAATCCACTGCTGGAAATTACTATTCAGCAGAGAAGCTGGGATGTGGACTGAATCACTGCAGGCTTTCTGATAAGCGGCCGCCTGCAGCCCAGCACAGCTGACTGCTGAGAGATAACAGTCTCATAAGCCTTTCTGCCCAACTCCAAGTCAGCTGGGGGGTGAAGGGAGGAGGGAGAAGGACATTTCTGGAAGAGCTTTGGTGAGTCAGGGGTGGGTACATGTCCCCAGGATCTCATAAGCAGACCCCCACCCCCGCGCAGTTCAGCAGCCCCCTGGAAAAGAGGAGATGGCTAAGAAGGCATTTGTAACTCTGCTGGCAGAACTCTGAAATAACTCTGTTGGTGATAAGAGCTAGATTCTGCAGCTGACAGAGGTTCTGCAAGAAAGCCCATACCTCTGCCAGCACCTCTGCTGGAGCTTTAAATGAGGGAGTCCTGCTACTGATTGCCCTTGTTAAATTCTTGTTCTGGATGAGTCTTTGGGAAGGGCTGGGACTTGGGCTTCTCTGACACTTAGGGGTCACCAAGAAGGGAGAAAAAAACTGAACTACCCTGACAATGGGTCTGCCCTGGACTTGAGCGGATAAAATAAATGATAAAACTTGGACGAGGTCCTGCAGGGTAGAAGCTTCAGGGAAACTGGTCTTGGTTCTGGCAAAGGGCCAGCTTTCCAGACCTCCGGGGCTCTGCAGCCCGGAGAGTGGGAGCAGAAGGCCACCACAGCCATGCTGCAGGGAGGTTCCAGATCAGGTGACTCTCCTTCCAACCAGGGGGAGAGGAAGCATGCTGCTTCTCCTGTCTTCCTAGCCTTGGAACCTTAGCATGCCCCTCAGAGCCCCAGTGACACTGTTGGGTAAGCATTGGACTGCTAACCGAAGGGTCCTTGGGTCAAACCCACCAGCCACTCTGTGGGAGAAAGATGAGGCTGCCTGCTCATAAAGATGTGCAGCCTTGAGAAGCCTGGATAGGGTCACTATGAGGCAGTGGATTTACGGTGAGCCCCAAAGTGTAGAGGGTGCAGCAGTTAAGCACTCAACTGCCAACAAACAGGTTAGCAGTTCAAACCCACCCAGGACCTCTTCAAGGGAAAGACCTGGTGATGTGCTCCCAGAAAGATTCTAAACCCCAAGCCCACAGGGGCAGTTCTCCCCACCACACGAAGTTGCTATGAGTCAGAATGGATTTGACAGTGGCGTCCTGGTTACTCAGGCTGCTAACTGGAAATCACCAGCCACTCCACGGAAGAAAGACAGGGCTCTCTACTCCCATCAGCAATTACACTCTCAGAAACTCACTGGAACAATTCTACCCTGCCCTAGAGGGTTGCTATGAGTTGGCATTTATTTTGTTTTTGAACAACAGCAAAGGACCCCTGGTGATGCAATCATTAAGTGCTCAGCTCATCTGATAGCAAAAGGTTGGTGGTTCGGATCCACCAGCTGCTCTGCAGTAGGAAGATGAGGCAGTCTGCTTCTGTAAAGATTACCGCCTGGGTGTGTGAGTCTGGTAGACTAGAGAAACAAATTCATAGACACACTCATAAGTGTATAAGAAAGAGGTTTATATACAAGAGCAGTTGAGTATTAAGAAAACAGCCCAGTCCAGATCAAGTCCATAAGTCCAATATTAGCGCATATGTCCGCTACCAATCTCTAAAGTCCTCTTCAGACTCACGAAACACATGCAAGGATGCTGAATGCAGGAAGATCACAGGCCAGTGGGTGTAAAATCAGTGGCAGTAGAAGCATCTCAGTGCTGGCAGGGGTCTCCACGTGACTGCTCCAATTTCCAGGGATGCATCAGGGTAGGTCCATGTGGCTTCTCCAGCTCCAAGAGCTTAGTGTCAGCAGAGGGTCTCCAAAGGAGTGAGCAGAGTCTCTCCTGCCTCTAAGGAATTCCCGGAATTCTCAGGAGAAGGCCATGCCCACACAGAGTCTTCATTGGCTATGACCTGATTGGCAGACTAGACTCCACCCCTTCATTCTTAGTCCTCTCAAGTCCCAAATTGACACCACATGATGTAAGTACCACACTTGGAAACCCTCTGGGACAGTTCCACGCAGCCTTACAGGGTCATTATGAGTAGGGATTGAGTCGAAGGTTTGGGTCATGACAACATGATGGGTTGAGTTTCTTCCATTGAAAAGCGGGTCATGGAAACTAGCTATCTTTTCTGCACTTGTCAGTGGATTTGGTTCCCCAACTTCAGATAGGCATATAGAGGGGACCTAGCATCTGTGAGCACCCCCTGCTGCCTCACTGATCCTCTAGCCCTGCTGACCTAGAAGCAGGTACCCCAGGAATGTGACAGATGCTCTTAAGGCTGAGACAGAAGATGGGTAAAGCCTAAGAAGATCTGGAAACCAGGGGTGGGGGGTGGGGAGCTGCTTCAGGAGCTGACTTTTATCTTGGAGCCTCAGGTTTTCCATCTTTGCCTGCTGGACCCAACCTGGGATTTGCCTGGATACCTCCAGGCTAGAGTGGGGAGTGAATGTTAACCTCCAGAAAGCTGTGGGGTCACCAAGTCAAGAGTTTGTTCTATTTGAAAACATACTCAACTCATGCCATCGAGTCAATGCTGACTCACAGCCACCCTGTTTGACAGGGTAGAGATGCCCCTGTGAGTGTCCAAGGCTGTCAATCTTTGTGGGAGTAGAAAACTTCATCCTTCCCCAATTTGAGAACATTGACATATGGAATCCAAGAACAGAAGTTGCTGTCAGATGGGTGGTAGACCTCCAGCTGGGCCGTGAGGGCCTGTATCCAATCAAGCGTTCATTATAGTTCTGTCAGTCTGGGCACAGGAGGTGGGGTAGCATCAGGACAGTCAGACATGGCTCCGGCCTCAAGGACGAGCAGTCAGAAGTGACCACACAATAGAAGATGGTGCTCTGAGAAGGGACATTTAATTCATTCAGAAGTGTGGCCAGAGCTGGTTCTCCAAGGACTAGAAGGAATTAGCGGGACAGGGCAGGGAAGAGAATCCCAGGCAGAGCATGTGGAGGCAATGCTGTGTATGGTATTCAAGCATGTGGAGGCAATGCTGTGTATGGTATTCAAGCAGCCACCAGAGGTTGGAAGGGTAGGGCAACAGGCAGGTGGGACTGGAGTACCAGGTGGGACCCAGGTCTCAGGGAACCTCCTTAAAGGAAGCTACCAGTGAAAGGGAGATGGGACCCCGGGGTCCAACTGGCGTTTAAGAATAATTTGACACTTAGTGACAAGTATGAGCCCTGGTGGTGGAGTGGTTACCTACTGGGTTCCAAACCACTTAGCCACTCCGTGGGAGAAAGACAGAGCTTTCTACTCCTCTAAAGCATTAGTCTTAGAGACTCACAGGGGCAGTTCTACCCTGTCCTATAGAGTCAGAATCAACTGGATGATGATGAGGTTGGTTTTTGAGGTACGAGTACAGAGTAGGTGGACTGGACTGGGCCCGAGTAGGTCCAGGAAGCTTCTGGGACTGAAGTGATATGATGGAGTGGGGAATGGAGAAGGGGACAGATTTGAGAGATACTTTGTCTTGATAAAATATCACTGCTTTTATAGCCCTGATGACGCCAACAGTCAAGCATTTGGCTATTGATGGAAAGGTTAGCATCTGAACCCATCTAGAATTGGGCTGCTAACTGAAAGGTCAACAGTTCACAACCACTAGGCACTCTATGAGAGAAAGCTAAGACTCCCTTAAACCGTTACAGTCTTGGAAACCCACAGGCAGGCCTACCCTGTCCTATAGGGTTGCCATGAGTTGGAATGAACTCAGTGGCAGTGAGTTTTTGTTTGTTTTTAAAAGGAGTGCTGGTGATGTAGTGGGTGAGGCGTCAGACTGCTGACCACCAGGGCAGCCCTCTGCCATCACACTCAAGGGCATGGAGGCAGGCAAGCAGAGGGTTTCTCCATACGGCATTAACCCTTGTCTGGACAGGCCTTGTCCTGGCTTCTTGGCATCCCAGGGTACTTAGTGTGTAAGGGCCCAACAATCTCAACTCACTATCATTGAGTCAATTCCAACTCATAGTCAGCCTATAGACTAGGATGGAATTGCCCCGGTGGGTTTCCAAGGCTGTCAATCTTTATGGTAATAAAAAGCTTCATCTTTCCCTGGTGGAGCAGCTGATAGTTCCAAACTGCTGACTTGCAATGACCCACGGTGCCAGCAGGACTCCTGGCCAAACAATACACCAAAAAAACAAACTCAATGCCAATGACTCATAGCGACCCTATAGGACAGGATAGAACTGCCCCTGTGGGTTTCCGAGACTGTCACTCTTCCTGGGAGTAGAAAGCCCAGTCTTTCTTCCTAGGAGTGGCTGGTGGTTTTGAACTCATAACCACTACACCACCAGGCCAAGCATTCAACACTCAAAAAAGCTCACTGCCATAAATGCCAACTCATAACAACCCTGTAGGACAGGGTAGAACTGTTTCCAAGCCTGTAACTTTCTTTTTTCTTTCTTTCTTTTTTTTTAAACAGGTGAGACTGTAACTCTTTACAGAAGT